TAAAAGCTCCATTTGTTCTTCTTACAACAATTCTCTTCCTCTCCAATTGCAGCAGAAGAAAAGACATAGACTGTGTGGCTACACCAACAAGCTGAGCAGACAGACAATAGGGCCAGAGAGCAATATCCCTGTTGCTCATACAAACAATATACCAAACTCAATCCAACTGGTCAACAGAGAGCCTTGGGCTGCTGGAACTTCTCTAGATCGGTGAGGTGTATGACTGAGACACAGAGCTGACACACAAAATGTGCCTATCCCTGGCAGTTTCTTTGGGAGAATCTGTGCTCAGAAACACTCAGGATTGTCTGAGAGACAGATACAGCAGGAATGGAGTCCAGTGGATAGGTCTGTAAGAGGAGCTCTCATTTCATAAGAAGATAGGAGGCTGAGTGCAATGGCTCACGCCTGTAATCCCAGCACTTTGGGAAGCCAGGCGGGCAGATCATGAGGTCAAGAGATCGATACTATCCTGGCCAACATGGTGAAACCCCGTCTCTACTAAAAATACAAAAATTAGCTGGGCGTGGTGGCATGTGCCTGTAGTCCCAGCTATTCGGGAGGCTGAGACAGGAGAATCACTTGAACCTTGGAGGCAGAGGTTGCAGTGAGCCAAGATCGCGCCACTGAACTCCAGCCTGGGCAACAGAGCAAGACTCTGTCTCAAAAGAAAAAAAAAAAAAGGAGACAGGAAGAGACCCCGAGGACCTCTCAGGGATAGACCTGGGCCTGGTTCAGCTGCTGAGTTGCAACAAGGCCAATTAAATAATTGGTGTGATGGGGAAAGGAGGGAAGCCACTCCTTTCAGGCAAACTCCCACCAGAGACAGGAGGCTCCATGCAGCTGTGACAACAGCAGCAGCAATAACAGGGCAGGGATCTCCTCCTCTTCCTCCCACTAGCTGAGATCTAATGCTTAAATTAGCACCTTGGAAACACCCAGATCTGCTGGCTGCCTTCTCTCCCAGTTCTGACACGCCCCCAGGCCTTCTTTTCAAGCCTGAGTTTCTCTTTCAATTAAATAATTTAAAAAATAAAGACGCGCTCCCCCTAGAGTTTATCTTTCCAAGTAGGGAATGGCCTCTGGATTCTTCCCATCACCATGGGATGGGGAGAGTTATTTGATGATGGCACCCATGTGACAAGCTTTTATCCATACAGCTTGGTCCAGAAAGGGGCAATGATGACACCAGCATTGCCTGGCTCCCTTGAGGCTTAAGGAGTCAGCCCCTACTCTGTCCTCAGTGGAGGATCACACTAAGAGAGTGAGCAAGAGAAACAAACTTTGATAAACTGTGAGCTCAAGAGCAGGGTCACATCTGTGTCTGTGTTGCTAACCACTCTATCCCTAATACTCAGTTTAATATTTGGGACAGAGCAGATGCTCAATAGTTATTTGGTAAATTAATTGCTGAATCAATGATATCAGGTCTCTGTGATATTCTTAGAAGGGAGAGTGAGGAGCTATTGTTTAAACTTTAAAGAGATAGTTTGTCTTCATCTCATACATGAAAAAACAATCTAGGAAGGAGGAGAGACTTCCTAGAGGTCTCAATAAATGGCAAAAAATGAAATAGGTCATAGCTAAGTCTGAGCCTGGGACCCTGGTTTTCATGGCCTATCCAAATACCCTTAAAGAGCCATTTTGCCCTCTTTTTTGCCCTTTACCTCTATGACATGCTATCTTGATTTTTTTTTCTTTCTTTCTTTCTTTCTTTCTTTTTTTTTTTTGAGACAGAGTCTTGCTCTGTTGCCTAGGCTGGGATGTAGTGATATGAACATGGTTCACTGCAGCCTCGACCTCCTGGGCTCAAGCAATCCTCCTGCCTCGGCCTCCTGAGTAGCTGGTACTACAGGCATGCAGTACCATGCTGAGCTAATTTTTAAATATTTTTGTAGAGATGGAGTCTCACTATGTTTCCCAGGCTGGGCTATCTTAATTCTTTATGCCGCAAAATGAAGACTCCTGAAGAAACATCACACAAGATTCTGCTGGTCAACAATACACAGGGGATTTAAGGATTTTTGAGGTGCCTCTGGAATACAACCTGGGGACACAGGTCAGGAAGCCGGGCAATGTCTATGACCCTCAAATGAGGGATGACTATATTGCTATTTCCATAAGGCTCTCACTCAACCTCAATAAAGTATTCTCAGGCCGGGCATAGTGGCTCGCTCTTGTAATCCCAGCATTTTGGGAGGCTGAGGCGGGCAGACCAATTGAGGTCAGGCATTCAAGACCAGCCTGGCCAACATGGTGAAACCCCATCTCTACTAAAAATACAAAAATTAGCCATGTGTGGGGGAAGGGGCCTATAATCCCAGCTATTTGGGAGGCTGAGGTAGGAGAATCACTTGAATCCAGGAGGTGAAGGTTGCAGTGGGCCAAAATCATGCCACTGCACTCTAGCCTGGGTGACAGAGGGGGACCCTGTCTCAAAAAAATATATATATATATTCTCTTGCAGACAAGGGTGACTTTAGCAGTTAAAAGGGTCTGAAGGCAGTCAGAGCTTTTCTAAGTGCCTCCTTGCCACAGATACTTCTCCAACTCCAGGTCCACACAGACCGGAAGCAGCTCAAGAGTCCTCTACCCAGCCAAACCACTATTCAGAATTTCAGGCAACAACAGAAGCACCAAGGACAATTGAGAGAGCCTGTTGGCTCTATTTCTTCTCCCCTTTGCTTGAACAGCTATTTCCTCCCTTTTTGGAAACCCCAGCTGGGAGACAAGAAACAACTCATTGCTTCCTTTTCCTGACACATTTGAACCTCCTCTTCCTTCATCCACCCTCTATTTTGATTCTTGATTAGATGCTTAGAACTGGAAGGGCAATCTAGTTTGACAAGCCAGGTTAGCTAGAAAGAGAACTCAGAAAGGAAAATTCTCTTCAGCCAGCCCGAAGTCCTTCTTTAAGTTCATGGGATGGACTTCTCTCCAGGATTTTCTGGCTCCCAAATAATCCAATGATGGCATGAGTCTAGGAAAAAGTCCTGCAACATCTCTCTCTGGTTTAATATTGTATGCTTCTGTAAAACTTCTTTGTTTTGGCTTTTAGAACTGTCTAAGTAGTCATGAAAGGGGGAAAAAGCCTTTTGTCTCCTGCTAAGTGGCCACTAATAATTCTCTCTACCATCCCCCAAAAGGCGTGACAAAAAGGCAGTGATGGGTCCCTGCCAAGGCCCATCTTGGCTGCTGTAATGAGTAGGTTACTCCTCCAGGAAGCTATAAAGCACATCTGTCAGCCAGGGGGTTATAGGCCCAAGGGTAGACCTGTTTCTGGCCACCCTGCCTAATACAGAAGCAGAGCTTCAGAACTTGGAGAGCTCAGCTCTGCTCCAGCCAGCACAGTTCAGAGAAATGGGGCATCCACACTTTCGGGTTTGTAGCTCACCTTGCCTCCTTCCAATTCCAGCTCAGGCTCCAGGGGGATAAAGCGAACACAGCCTAGACATTCCTTCTCTTCCCCCTTCACTATACGAGCTGGCTAGGCCTCCACGTCTCCCACCCGGTTGCCTGACAGACATGCGAGGTCAGGTAGCCCCCGGGGCGGTGGCCAGCAAGCATGGTCTCCCTTAGGCCTACCCTCGGTGCACCCGAGTTGCCCTCCCCCTGCTATTCCCTCCGCGCCAGCAGCGATGACATCATTCCTCCCTGACTCCGGGACCGCGGACAGGCGGCAGGATCCGCGCCCAGCAAGGACTTCAGGCACGTAGGCCTAAGATGATGGGGGCTCTTCGCAACCAGTGGGCACAGGCAACTCCAGCGCGGCCCCACTTCCTCTCCCGTCGGTTCCCGAGCACTCTCATCTGCACCCCGATTCCCCATCTGGTCGCCATGTACTCTCCTTCCCGGTTTAGATGCCCCCAGCCTGGACTGCCCGCGCTAGCCAACGGAGAATGGAATTCCCAGGTTCCGCACCAACCACCTTCCCCCACTGGGTCCCTCGCCCCGGCCCAGCTTTCCTATCCGTATATCCAGTGGACAGGCGGGCAGGCCCCTCCTCTTTTAAAAGCTGATTCCCAATCTCTCTTAGCCTGACGGCTCCCCCGCCCTAAGCATCACAGGCCTCTAGGATTAAACGCCTCCCCACCTCCCATCCCAGCCCCCTGGGCCTGCCGCCGGCGATGCCCCATGACAGTTCCTTCGCCAGCCCCCGCTATGGGCCTCCACTAGCTGTGTGCACCTTTGTGCCCCCTCCGTTCCATCCGACGGTGCTCTGCCTCCACCGACGGTGCCCTCCGCCCTTACAGGTCCCTTTGCTCTCATCCAGCATATTCTCCCACGGTTTTCTTGTCCTGCAAGTCCCCGTCCCCCGGCAATACGTTTTCAGGGATCTCTTTGCCCCATCCGATGGCGCCCCTCCGCACAATCCCCCCGGCCTGATTCCCTCCCTCCCCCTCAAGCGACGCCCCCTCCCGGCCTTGGCCTGCCAGCCGCCCGCCCCCTCACCAGCGGCTGCATCTCCGAGTGCGCGGTGGGCACCTGGAACCGGTCGATCTCCTCCATCATGGTGCCGGCGGGCGAGCGGGCCAGGGGCCGGGCGCGGCCAGGGACGCCGACGGGACCGCGCGGGGCGGCGGCCCCAGGAGCCCGGCGGGTGGTGCAGACTAGGCCTTCCCGGACCAGTCGGGCTGGCAGGGGCCGGGCGGATGCAGGGGTGGGCGGGGGCGAGAGGTTCGCAGACTGGCTGAAGCCGGCGTGACTCCGTGGGCTTGCCTAGCACTACCGCGGCTGTGGCCGGGCCGAGCCGCAGGTCTTGCCTCGCCTCCTACTCCGCCGCCGCCTCCTGTCAGCAGCTCAGCCACTGCGGTGACTCGGCAACTCCACTTCCGGGTCCGGGACACCGCCCGGGACTTGCATTATTCATGAGGAGGCGGTGTCTGGGGACTCCAGCCCCACCCACATGCGGGAGTTCCGAAGGCGCGCGACCGCCCGGCTGCGATTCCTGAGGGGGCGGGGCTTAGTGGAGACTGGCTCACCGCGCGCCCAACCCCGCCTCCTTCCCGGGCCGGCTGGGCGCGCCAGAGGCGCCTGCGCCTTGGCTGCCGGGCGGTTGCTGGGTAACCGCGTCAGGGAGTTGGATTCTGTCCTGCAAGGGCACGGAGACCCACAACGACGGCTGTCCCTAAAGAACACTTGCGACTGGTAGTTGAAGTGGAGAGTCCAGATTTCTTGTGTGTGGTCAAGGAGACGGACAAACTTTTTGTCTTCAGACGAGGGAGCGTTTTGTAGACTCTCCGGGGGTTGAGATGCTTCCTGCTTCTGCGAAGGCTCCCCATAAACAGTCTCGTAAGCAGGTAACGCACGCACACCTTCCTTCTGATGACCTCTGACCTTCGTCGTCGCCAGTGACCACTAATCATACCTCTCCTATTGATCCTTGATCTTTTATCTGTTGACCCCTAACCTTCTCACCCCCGTGACCTCTAGCAAGTGCTCCCACTGACCTCTGACTCTGTCCTACTCTTTCCCACTAATCCTGGCCTCCTCTCCCATACTACCCCAACCCACTGTTTCTTACCTCTCTCCTTTTATCCACCATTCCCATCTCTTCACTTTACCCCACGGACTCATTCTGACCAGTCTATCCTCCTTAACTCCCCCATCCCCATTCCCACGAGTCCCTTCCTCCTTGTCCTCACATTCTTGTCCCAAAGGAATTTTTCTTTTTTTTTTCTTTTTTTTTTTTTGAGATAGAGGCTCGCCCTGTAGCCCAGGCTGGAGTGCAGTGGCGCCATCTCAGCTCTCTGTAACCTCTGCCTCCTGGGAGCAAGCGATTCTCCCGCTTCGGCCTCCCGAGTAGCTCGGACCAAAGGCATAGGCCACCACTTCCGGCTAAATTTTGTATTTTTGGTAGAGACGGGGTTTCCCTATGTTGTCCAGCTCGTCTGGAACTCCTGAGCTCAAGCGATCCCGCTACCTTGACCTCCGGAAGTTCTGGGATTACACGTGAGCCACTGCGCCCAGCCTCAAAGGCATTCTTTATCCAACCCTTTGCTGTGTGCTTAGCTCCAGGCTAGGTGGGACCACAGGCCTTGCTGTTTGGGAGCCCACAGAGGGTGCGCAAGAGAACTAAACAGAATACAGGATAGGCTATGTGCAGGAGTTTGATTTATTTTCTGTGCTGGGAGATTTATGAGGAGAAAGAGGGCAGGCAAAGAGGAAGAGGAGAGAGGCCCTTTTCTCATCCCTGTCCCCACCCCCACACTGCACAACCCAGACACTCGCCCCCAACTATTTCTAGAGCCTCATATGTCTCTCTTCCCTGCGAGCCCCTGGTCCACTCCTGTGATTCATTCAGCTATGTGAACATTATGCTCTGATTACCACCTGGACAGATGTCATCCCTTCTCACAGGAAACCGGAGTCATACCCCCCTTAACCCACTGAGCTCCGAGTTCTGCCTTCTTCCTCAGCATCACCACGGAAGGCAAGGCAGTCCCAGTTTCCCAAGGAGTCTTCTGTGGTGAAGCAACTTAGTCCTTCAGGAACTTTTTCCAAACCCTTTATGAATTACCACTCTGGCTAATGTGTAGTTTCTAGCTCTGGAAAGCAGGACTTCTATTTATTTATTCCAGATTTACCTCACTCAAGTCTAGGTATATTGAGGTTTAGAGAGCCAATCTGTGTCCATGCTACTTACGACTTTGCATATTTTGGTCTGGCCACCTCCATGTTAGCCTTTGCTCCTCTGCCTCTTTTACCTGGCCTTCTGTAGCAGATGGCCGTGACTTTCTTAGGTCTCTGCAGCCTTGGGGAAGCTGCTAGTCCTATAAGAACATGCCCTAATTTTATATCGGGATTGGGCTTTACGTTGAAGTTCATGTACTGTGTTTTAGCCTCCTGACCCTATATTTACAGGCAGTTTGCTTTTATTTATTTTTTATTTATTTATTTATTTATTTACTTTATTTTTTTTTTTTTGAGAAGGAGTCTTGCTCTGTGCCCAGGCTGCAGTGCAGTGGCGCGATCTCGGCTCACTGCAAGCTCCGCCCCGCCGGGTTCACGCCATTCTCCTGCCTCAGCCTCCCGAGTAGCTGGGACTACAGGCGCCCACCACCTTCGCCCGGCTAATTTTCTTGTATTTTTAGTAGAGACGGGTGTCACCGTGTTAGCCAGGATGGTCTCGATCTCCTGACCTCGTGATCCGCCCGTCTCGGCCTCCCAAAGTGCTGGGATTACAGGCTTGAGCCACCGCGCCCGGCCTATTTTTTTATTTTTTGAGACGAAGTCTCGCTCTGTCGCCCAGGCTGGAGTGCAGTGGCCGGATCTCAGCTCACTGCAGAGCTCCGCCTCCCGGGTTTACGCCATTCTCTTGCCTCAGCCTCCTGAGTAGCTGGAACTACAGGCGTCCGCCACCTCGGCCCGGCTAGTTTTTTGTATTTTTTATTAGAGACAGGTTTCACCGTGTTAGCCAGGATGGTCTCGATTCTCCTGACCTCGGGATCCGCCCGTCTCGGCCTCCCAAAGTGCTGGGATTACAGGCTTGAGCCACTGCGCCTGGCCTATTTTTTATTTTTTTATTTTATTTATTTTATTATTGTTATTATTATTTTGGAGACTGAGTCTCGCTCTGCCTCCAGGCTGGAGTGCAGTGGCGCGATCTCGGCTCACTGCAAGCTCCACCTCCCGGGTTTACGCCATTCTCCTGCCTCAGGCCTCCGGAGTAACGTGGACACACAGCGCGCCCACCGCACGCCTGGCTAATTTTTTGTATTTTTTAGTAGAGATGGGGTTTCCACAGTGTTAGTCAGCAGATGGTCTCGATCTCCTGACCTTCGTGATCCGCCCGCCTCAGCCCCCAAAGTGCTGGGATTACAGGCGTGAGCCACCGGCCGCCGACCTATTTTTTATTTTTTCCAGCCCTTCTCGTCACCCAGGATGGAGTGCAGTGGCACGATCTTGCTCACTGCAACCTCCTCCCGGTTCAAGGGATTCTCCTGCCTCAGCCCTCCAAGGAGCTGGGATTACAAGGCATGCGCCCACCACGCCTGGCTAGTTTTTTTTTTTTTTTTTTTTTTTTTTTTTTTTTTTTTTTTTTTTTTTTTTTTTTTTTGGAGACAGGTCTTGTTCTGTCGCCCAGGGCTGGAGTGCAGTGCGCGATCTTGGCTCACTGCAAGCTCCGCCTCCTGGGTTCACATCATTCTCCTGCCTCAGCCTCCTAAGTAGCTGGGACTATAGGCGCCTGCCACCACGCCCGGCTATTTTTTGTACCACGCCGACTAATTTTTTTGTATTTTTAGTAGAGACAGGGTTTCACTGTGTTAGCCACGATGGTCTTGATCTCCTGACCTCGTGATCCGTCCGCTTCGGCTCCCAAAGTGCTGGGATTACAGGTGTGAGCCACCGCACCAAGCCAGTTTTTGTATTTTTAGTAGAGACGGGGTTTCACCATATTGGTCAGGCTGGTCTTGGACTCCTGACCTCAGGTGATCCACAGGCCTAGGACTCCCAAAATGCTAGGATTACAGGCGTGAGCCCCGTGCCCCAGCAGTTTGCTTTTTAAAATTATTGAGGTTTGGTTTACATATAATAGAATGTACCATTTTAGTTGTACGTGTTGACAAATTTTAACAATTTACACACGTATGAACCACCACCACACTCAAGATATGGAACTGGCCGGGCGCGGTGGCTCAAGCTGTAATCCCAGCACTTTGGGAGGCCGAGGCAGGTGGATCATGAGGTCAGGAGATCGAGACTATCCTGCTAACATCGTGAAACCCGCGTCTCTACTATACAAAAACGTGCGGGTGGGCGGGCGGCCTGTAGTCCCCAGCTACTTGGGAGGCTGAGCAGGAGAATGGCGTGAACCCCGGAGGTGGAGCTTGCAGTGAGCCGAGATCACGCCACTACACTCCAGCCTGGGAGACACAGCGAGACTCCATCTCCAGAAAAAAAAAAAAAAAAGATATAGGATACTTTCTCTATCCCAAGAAGTTCCCTGTGCCTCATCCCACCTCCTATCCCCCACCCCTGGCCTGCCTAGGTAACCACAGATCTGCTTTCTGTCATTACAGATTTGATTTGTCTTTTCTGGCAACTTGCAATTTGAACAAACTTGGGAATGGGTTGCTGTAGCCCATTAGGGAGACATTAGAGACTAGTTACAATGAGAGCAGAGAGAGGTGATAGTAGACAGAAAGCAGAAAAAACTGGGTCAACTGGCCCCGTACACATCAGCACTGCTCTATGGAGGGAAGGGTTGTTTTAATTCAGAGTAAATATTGGTGTGCGGGGTGTGAGAAAAGGTTGGGTTGTGCTAGGTTGTATTCATCATTTTCTTGCCTCAGTGAAGACCAATTTGAGTCAGTGCTAATCAGGTGTGGGATGTCCTAGAGATGTTTGAGAAGTTGTCCCTGTCCTCTGGGAATTCAGTTCAATGGGGGAGACAGAACACAGGCATACAAAAATAAAGGAGGATGGAATCCCTGAGGATGAAGGAGAGAGAGGCCTGCAGGTTAGAGCAGCAGAAAGGCTTCAGAGAGGAGGTAGGTAGGACTGGGATGCCAGGGGTGAGGGATAGAGGGATAGAGGATAGAGAGGAGTTTAAATTCCGTTTGTTCATGTCACTCCACTGGTCACCTTTTAGTGATTCCCTGTTGCTCTCAGGATAAAGTCCCAAAAGTCCAATTTGCTTGGTATGGCCTCTGCCACCCTGCATGATCTTGCCTTTGCTACCCATCCTACTTCAAATCACCACCTATATGAAAATTCCACAATCCCAGCAAACTGAACTGCCCTCACTTCCTAGAAAGTAATATTCACACTGTTTATCTCCTCTAAGCTTTTGAAATCTTTTCTGTCTGCTTCTACCTACTCTACTCCACCCTGCCCCAAATCTTTCATTCATATCCTATTCATACTGTGGGTCTAAGCTTGGCATTCATATTCTTCTACAAAGGATTAAGTCCCCTTTCTGGAGGCAGGATAGGGTGATATCCCCACTAGACTATAAACTCTGTTATGGTAAGGATCATGTCTGTCTTGTTCATTGTTGATTCCCCTCTGCCTAGCACAATACCTGGAATACACTGAATTCTAAGAAAATGAGTTCAATATGAATTCTGAATGCCCTAAATTGTTCTTGGAAATTATCATCTGAATGTGTCTGAAGGATAGGAAGGGGTGAAACTGGTATGGGGAGACTAGTGGGGGATTATAACAAGGAAATGTAACTGTGTAAGCATGGTTTTCCAGGTGCATGTTTATATCTGCTTCGGCAGTAGGGCTGTGAATGATTCAAATTTGAACCATACGTATCCATGCCTTGAGAGATGGGTTTTGGAGACTAAGA